TACTTCAATATACTTCAGTGAGAACTGAACAGGAACAACCTGTTTCCTGGTTGGTCTCAGGTGATGTCATTAAGGGGCGGAGCTTTGTCAGTTAACTGCTGTGTCTCATTTTAAAGGGAAATATGATCCATCATACTGCTCTGAGATCACGTGACAACATGATAGAAAACACGAGCAGAGAATAATTTTTCTCACTGATATTTCTATGATTCTTTTTACTTTGGTTTAAGTATCAGCCTACAGCTACATAGCAGGCCTCAGTCTGCAGAGTCTAGCATGGATTGATTTTATCTAAGCAGGCGTTGGTGAGTGATAAAAGCTGCCATCATCTATACTTACATCACCTGCCTCCAGATCAGCCATTAGCAAAATTAAACTGCAATAGCCAGTTTCAACCAGTAGAGGGCGATCACTATGCAGCTTTATAGCAAAATATGTAAAATTCAAATGCTATCGACTAACATAATATATGTCCAGATTTGGACTTAAATTAATCAAGAACAGTAATAAATACCCATATACAGAGGTTTTCAGCAGAAAAACATGGTTTAGGGTTTAGTTAGTCTTTACAGTGTACCTCTTCCTCACTTCACGCAAGGAATGTTGTCCAAACAAAAGAGCAGTCTTAAATGAGAGCACTTTCAGATCTACCTGATCCAAGCGCTCAAGTAGCGGGGTGAGACAGTGCATCCGAAACAGTTGATAGATCCCAGGATGGGGCAGTCTGTTTGAGCACTCTTCACAAACGGCTGACAAAGGGATGTTGTCCCACAGCCTTACAATCAAAACCCACATGGCATGCAGCAATAGCAGCCAAGTAAAGTACCAACGTGTTTTTATAGCCAGTTTTGGCTCCTGCCACCCCGGGGCATGTAACATTACAGTTGGCAACAGTTAACTTCTTTTGTCAACAAGTCCATCTGGAAACTCCATAAATCATCTCAGTACTTTCGTCACACTGTCTTCTGTCTGTCTCTGAGGTTGTGTTTAAAGTGAGGCTGCTGAGCCCCGTTCATTTGCAGGCTACTGTCAGCTACATTAGCAGTTAGCTAACAGCAGCTACATTTGCAGTAACATGCTGTTAGCTAGCTAGCTAACTAATGAATCTTCACTCTGTTTAGCTAAAAGTTGAAGATTGATTGACAGGTGAATGTCAGGATATTATTGGGTGAAATCAATTCATGCTGACATAAGCACACGTCACATTTTTGTTTACAGGATGACACAATGATTGAATTTTGATATAAATTATGAAGACATTGTGTTTTTGTAAATGTTTTGGCACACATTGATAAACAGTGGAACAATAAAACTGAGAATTTGATCTTAAAACATTAAAATGACATGTTTAATTTCACCTGGACTTAATTAAAGTCTTCTAGTTTAAGCATAAAACCAAATTTTACAAAAGTACAGGAAAGGAGGAAGGTGGCCGAGGCTTGCTCAGCTGTTATTGGAGCACAGAGGGGGAAGGGGCGGGCTTCGTAAGAGTCCCTGGTTTTTTCCACCATATTTATGTTACTTTCAGTCAAAAGTCAGTTTTACGAGTTCTGTATAAAAGAAAAAGAAGAAAGTGAAGAAAGTCTTGTATTCTTGGTGTTGTTCCCCCTTTCTGAGGCAACAAATTGCTTTTATTTCATTTTTTTTTAAAATGAGAATAAACATTAGTGGGTGTTCCTCCTGCACACGCTCGATACCACTCACTTTTATTAAATGTCAAACATACAGATTGTTTTTATTTTGTCTTTGTGGAGGACAGTGGAACCCTGGGTGGGTCCAGGTGATGGTACAGATTTCCTGAAGCCAGAGAACGCAACCTGACAAACTGTTCAAAGACAGTCCAAACAGTGACACCTGCTGGTCAAACCTCTGCATTGCATTTGTTCTCACTGCTGTCAGCCTTCATATTTTGTTCAATAAAGGTCATATTATTTAAAATCATCACTTTTCTACAGTTTTTGACTGTAATGAGGTCTTTTTGCAGTCATGTGAAAAATTATGTGCACAGATATTGATATCACTCTGCAAAAGGTACTCAGAAGGCTGCTTTCTTAAATAATATTTAAGTTAAATCTTATTTATTCTTTTACAGACAGAAACAGAGGATGAATGAGTGTGTTCAATGATCAGAAGAAACTTTACGTCCGTAGATCTGACAAAGAAAACTGTATTTAAGTTTCTTCCCAATCACTATCAGCTTTATTATTTATAGTATCTGAAACTGTGAAAGAGAGATGAACCCAGCAGCCAGATTATGTGTGTTTGTTTGCTAACATCTGCACACACTTTCTGAATGGTGTCATACATTTGTACCATGTGTTTCTAGAGAATTCATTGAAATTCGTTCAAACTTGATTTTTTTTAAAAAGCCCAATGATTTTAATCCCCCATACTTCCAACAATGTTCAAACTCAGAGAAATCTCTTAGCTTTAGCTTCAGTTTATTAGCTGTTATCCAGTCTGAAGCC